CATCCTGGGCTGCTATAACTGAGGACCAGTTGTCTCCTGCAATTTTAACACTGACACCCACTTCCCCGCCCCCCCCCTCGCTGACACACACACACCACTTGATGCTGGGACTGACATTGCTCTCAACAATCATTTTTTTCAAGTTCATTTCCTGGTATGACAACAAATTTGGCTACGACAACAGGACGGTGGACCTCATGGTCCACACGGTCTCCAAGGAGGCCCCCCCCTCGCTGACACACACACACCACTTGATGCTGGGACTGACATTGCTCTCAACAATCATTTTTTTCAAGTTCATTTCCTGGTATGACAACAAATTTGGCTACGACAACAGGACGGTGGACCTCATGGTCCACACGGTCTCCAAGGAGTAAGAAGCCCTGGACCACCTACTCCAGCAAGGGCCCGAGAGGAAGAACAGGCCCTGGGCTGCTGGGAAGTTCCTGTCTCAACACAGCCCCAACACAGCCCCATCTCCCCTCACAGTTTCCATCCCAGTCCCCCAGAAGAAGGGGGTGCCTAGGAAGCTCTACAGTCTCTGCCTACATCAGTAAAGGTCACTGCAGCGGTGGAGGATGCCTGCTCTTTCCTTCTGCTCTGCTTCTGCTAGGCTGGCTTCTCTCAGACAGGTTCATGCTTTGCAGTACGGAGCTGAAACCCAGTAGCGCCGGGGTTTATATCCTACCAGTCAATAAATTAGCTCCTTTTCCAGCAAAAAAAAAAAAAAAAGGAGCTCATTTCCAAAGTTTACAGAAAAGGAGACATCTACCTGTGTCCATCCCTGAACACCCTGATCACTGTGACTACAGCGTGAGAAACACAAATTGGCCCTAAGGGGAGAAAGGCCAGACCCACATGACCACACAGATTGGAGAGATGATTCCCCAAAAGAAAGTCAGGGTGCTGTTACCAGAAATGGGAGAGGATGTGGAACAGATGTTAAAGTCTGAAATGCAGTGATAGACATCCAGTGGTCTCAAGTTGAAGAAACAAGTTGAGAAATTATCCTACAACTTTATGATAGTGGCAAAATGAGCTGGGCAGATGAGTTCCTCCGGAGAATATGCAGAGAAGGACCACATCGGAAGACCAGGGAAACGTCCTGGGGTTGAGAGACCCCACCAATTTCATAGTAAAAGAGAAAGATCCCTTAAAGGAAGCGGGGTCAGGAGGTAAAGGTTTTTAAGGAGTCGGGAGTTGAGTGAGAACTTAGCATTGGGTCCTTGGAAAAAGAAAAGCCCAAGGCTAGAAGTGTCCAGTTTTCAGGAAGAACTGGAAAGGCAAAGCCACCCCCGGGGTTCTGCACATCTAGCTGCCGTGGGCTCCCGCCCCTGGTCGCGCCCCTCATCCCTGGCTAGCTGGCCATTCAGTGTCTCTTAGCTGCTATCTCTCAAGAGCAACAGCCCTCAAAGTTACATCAGTAAACTGCGGCGTGGCGGGTTGTGGGGCGGAGTCGTGAGGTGGGCGGGGTCCGGGTGAACCCAGCCTCCAATGGGGTGAGTAGGTTTGAGGGTATGTATGATGAGGATGGGGCGGAGGCTATGCCGCCGACTTGAGGCTAGGAGTCCCGGGCTGGTGGCCTCCGGGCGGGTGCGAGAACCTGCTGTGTTCCGCCCCTGCGCCCGCCAGCCCGCCTCCCGCCCAGCCTCCGCTCCCTAGGCTTTGCCACTCTTCCCGCCCTTCCCAGTCTCCCAGACCGCACCGGTTCCTGCACCGCGGCCCCCCGCAGCGCCAGCCCAGGTGCCATGGCTGCTGTGTACCGCCCCGGCCTGCGGTGAGTGACCCCCCAGCCCGGGGCCCAGCCGCACTGTCCTCCGCGCTGCCCCTCGGGGTTGCCTCCCCTGCTTTCCCATCCTAGGAGGCGAGCAGGGCGGCTCTCTGTGGATCCCGGCGGCACAGGCTGTGCGTGACCCGGATCAGCCACGCGATGTCTCCGGTTTCCGTCCGCTCCTGCCCCACCCTCCCTGCCTGCTCGCCTGTTCCTGCAGTCTATGTCTGCCATTCTCAACTTCCTCCCCCTTCCCTGCCTTCCCGAGCCCTGTCTCTGCAAATCCGCCTCTCCTTCCAGATGTTAACTATCAAACCCCCGGGGGCTCCCAGTCAGCGCTGGAGGGTGGTGTGAGGACCGGTAAGGCCCTGCTGGCCAAAGGGCAGGAGCCCCTGGGGGCCCGCGCTCAGCGCTCCCCGAAGAAGGTAGGAGGTAAATATCTATTCCCTGCCTCCTCCACAATGGAACGTGGAAAGAAGCCCAGGGCAGCCTGAGGGACCTGGGGACTCGGAGGGAGGGAGGGAAGCACGATGCAGAAGGGAGCCACATTGCCTTCTTTTCGACTTGGCTGGCTTCTTCCCGTACCCAGGCCTGGAGACACGGGTTTGTCCTGGCTGACTGCCATGCCCTTATCCAGCGTAGTCTCCTCTCCGTCGCCCCCTTCTTCCTAGCTTCTCACCCAGAGTCTGAACTGACTGACCCCTTATCCCTCCCATACGGGTTTTACTTGGTCAGTCCAGGTGACAGACTCTGGAGGATAGAGAGAAGGTCCCTCTGAAGATCTGTAGGAGGATGGGGCCAGCGCTTCAGAAAACCTAACTGGAGTCGGATTCCAGAGGAGAGAAGCTTTCAAACATGTGCCTCTAAAATCAATTCACTCTGGAAACCTAAGTGGAAATGATCCCAGGGGCTCTCCTTTAAGGCCCCTGGGGCCACGTAGGCAACCAGCCTGCTCTATGCTGGAAAACACCCCAGACCAGGTCCAAATGCCCACATCTGTGACCCCTTCCCTTCCCCAAGCATACAGCCTAGGATCTGAACTTCCTACAGTCTCATGTTCCAACCTACCACCAACTCCTAAACTTCTGTAGACAAGGTGCTTCTAGGGAGAAGAGCCAGGGAATGGCTCAAGCCATCATGATGTGCTATGGGTTTCTGGTGGGCAAGGCCTTGCATCTGAGGAAGGTAACTAATTTCTCTTGACCTTTGCTCTCTCACAGTCACTCAGTCCTGGGTCCATACCAATCACAGCAGACCCTGCTCACTCTCTTCCAGGGGCTTAACAGGACAAACAGTCCAGGGCCCTGCCCTTCTGTGAATCAAGGCATGAACCCTAGGCAATGATACTCATTCTCCATGATCAGCCTTTCTTAGTTCAAAAATACTCACCTAGTGGAACATTTTATTCAATCATTGTTGATCCGGTTGAACAGTAGATCCAGTAGCTGGAACCTCAACATCAGGTCACTTATCTCCATGCAAGAATCCTAATCTAAAAACTTGGACTGCTTACTGCCTCACAGACTAAGTCCTTTGCTTGAGGCATTCACATCAAGAGAAAAAGATAAGAATAGCTGCCATTTTAGCATAAAGACTATCTGATTGGAAAGAACATGGATGAAGTTGTAAACGCCAGCCATATGAAGCTCTTCCCTGGGCAGTTTCTTGACTCTTGGGTCAGAGGGCATCTGCTTATTTCTAAACATAGACCCGATAGAGTGAAACCGGGGCATGAGTTACACATGCAGTGATGTCATGCACACTTCCATAGCCAGATGTGTTTTTCTGCTCATTTGGCAGTGTCTCCTTCCCTGATCAGGAGACAGCCATATACCCTATAAAGGCCTCAAATGCAGATGATCTGAGCCTATGCCGTAAACCAGCTCTAACCTGCTCTTCATGGTACCTACACCCAGATATGCTACATACTCTCCAGAGGCACAAGCTTTCTTCTATCCTCTCCCTCCTTCCCCCAGTACTTGTCTGTCTCCCGTGATAGCAACTGGCTGGCTTCTTCTGTTTTTCCTCTTAGGCTTGGCTGGCATCTGCTGAGCCCCTGGTGTTGGTCTCCATGCCGGAGCATCCAGACCCTGCGTGTACTCAACAGAGATCTGGGCCAGCTGCCTGCTGGAGTTCGAGAGTTTGTAGAGTGCAGTGCCCATCTTTGCCAGCCAGAGGGCATCCACATTTGTGATGGGACGGAGGCTGAGAACACTGCCACATTATCCCTGCTGGAACAGCAGGGTCTCATCCGAAAGCTCCCCAAGTATAAAAACTGGTAAATCCTGAAACTAGCAACCCCCAAGATGACAGCTACTGCTTAGAATGAGTTCACTCTGGGTTCACCAAGGCAAAAATATTTCCAGACCATAGCAGCAGGATGAAGAAGAATGGGAGCTTTGGGGAAAAGGGACTATGAAGTGAGATTAGCTAGTGCTTTCTAATTAAATGAAAAAATTGATACAAATTTACAAATTAGAGCTGGGGGAGGCTTACTGCTCCAGTTCAGGGAGCATTTGCCAGAGGTAGAGGCCTAAGGCTGGGCCTTGGGGAACCACCTGTTAATGAGACAAAGCCTGGAGGAAGAGACGAAAATGCAACTGGATGGGAAAAAATAAAACAAACAGAAGACCTGGAGTCAAAGCTACACTTAACAAGTGAATCTGGGAATATACTAAATCTACTAGCCATTATTTTCCTGACAAAGCTCTCTCCCCTAGCTGGCTCGCCCGCACAGACCCCAAGGATGTGGCTCGAGTAGAAAGCAAGACGGTGATTGTAACTCCTTCTCAGCGGGACACAGTGCCCCTTCCAACTAGTGGGGCCCGTGGGCAGCTGGGCAACTGGATGTCCCCAGCTGACTTCCAAAGAGCTGTGGATGAGAGATTTCCAGGATGCATGCAGGGTAACAAGGCAGGGACACAGAAACAGGGGCACAAGGTAGGACCAGGTTTGAAATCCTTCATCCAGTGTCACCTTCCTTCCTTCCTCCACAGGCCGTACCATGTATGTGCTTCCATTCAGCATGGGTCCCGTGGGTTCCCCACTGTCCCGCATTGGAGTGCAGCTCACTGACTCAGCATATGTGGTAGCAAGCATGCGTATTATGACCCGCCTGGGGACGCCTGTGCTTCAGGCACTGGGAGGTGGTGACTTCATCAAGTGTCTGCATTCCGTAGGCCAGCCCCTGACTGGGCATGGTGAGTACTTGCCCTCCTCTGGGTAGGACACTGAGAGGGAGCCCCAGATCTTATCCATGCACAGATTGGGAAAAACTGCCTTCTGTGAAAGCTTTCTCTCCAAGGCCCAGGGATACATTCTGGACTGCAGTGAAGCTGTTTAGCAAACAGTTTACACAAGATTCAGAAGTCAGTTTCCATGCCCAGTAGAGGCAAGAGAGCTGATGGATACTGAGGAAGTGGGTCTAGCCACCCCTGGGCACCACTATTCTCCCAAGTGTCTCTCCTGACAATCCTTGATCCCTCCAGTCCCTGAAACCCCAGTTTCTGACGCCACTGCCAGCAGCCCTATGACCCCATTGTCTCCAGGGGATCCTGTGAGCCAGTGGCCATGCAACCCGGAAAAAACCCTGATTGGCCATGTGCCAGACCAGCGGGAGATCGTCTCTTTCGGCAGCGGCTATGGTGGTAACTCCTTGCTGGGCAAGAAGTGCTTTGCCCTGCGCATCGCCTCTCGCCTGGCCAGGGATGAGGGCTGGCTGGCAGAGCACATGCTGGTGAGGGCCTGATGAGGAACCGAGTAGCTGTTGGGGGGTCAGGGCAGGGAGTGGGGCCTTGCCAGTCTGCCTCAGCCTCACCTCCTTCCTGCCAGATGCCAGGCTGGTAAGCAGGAACTCACTGAAAGCCTGAAGGTTTGGCTCCAGGCTGCAAGCCTGTTGCAGGGTAGTATATCTGCTTAGTGAATAAATATTGGTCTCCCCGAATATCCGCTAGCTGTCCTTACTCATTCAGACTCTGCCCTGACTTTTGGTGACTTCCACCTTTGTTGCCTTTGTCTCCAACACACAGATTTTGGGCATCACCAACCCTGCAGGGAAAAAGCGCTATGTGGCAGCTGCCTTCCCCAGTGCGTGTGGCAAGACCAATCTGGCCATGATGCGGCCTGCATTGCCAGGCTGGAAAGTAGAGTGTGTGGGAGATGACATCGCCTGGATGAGGTTTGACAGTGAAGGTGAGGGGCCCTTTTCCTGAACAGCCAACCTGATCCCATACCTGTTAGCCAACCACCCCAGAGACACAAGCCTTCCTCTGTCAGATATAGGGTCCACATCCAGGATCAAAAAGGACTACAAAAGAGCTTCCTGCAGCCTTACAGCTCAGCTTTTCCTGGTTGGTCTTTCTTTCACTTCCCCAACAGGTCAACTCCGTGCCATCAACCCTGAAAATGGCTTCTTCGGGGTGGCTCCTGGCACCTCTGCCACCACCAATCCCAATGCCATGGCTACAATCCAGAGTAATACTATTTTCACCAATGTGGCGGAGACCAGTGATGGCGGTGTATACTGGGAGGGCATTGACCAGCCTCTTCCACCTGGTGTCACTGTAACCTCCTGGCTGGGAAAACCCTGGAAACCTGGTACGTGGAGGGGAGAAGTTGTATCAAAAGCTCCAGGACTCAGCACTTTCATGATGGAAAAGCCTCTCTACAACCCTAGCTTTATGTAGTTTCCAACCCCAGGCAAGATGTCAGTTCTTGCCCCAGATCCACTAATCATTGTTCTGATGATCTGCATAATTACTTAACTACCCTTTAGTTGTCCTCAAATGGGGGCTACATGGTACTCATCTTGTAAGATTATGGGAGGCCTAAATAATGCATAAAATGAGTTTACTATACTGCCCAAATCATAGCAAACTGTCAACAATAAATATAAGCTAGGTTGGGGAGGCAGGAGGAGGAAGGGGAAAAAAAGACTGTTTGGAAAACTGTTACAGAAGGAATTGGGTCAGTAACATTTCACCCATTTGGAAAGAAGGAAATTTGCCTCCTCTTCCCAACTGTCCCCTTGCCACTTGGCTCCTGTTCACCTGCATTGTCTAAAGTCCCCTCTGGCTCCCCTGTCCTATAACACTGATGCTCTAATCCTCCATGAAATCGGGCTAGCTTTTTAGACTTTCTTAAATGTTGATTTCTCAACCCTGTCATTATCAAAGTGCCTTAGAGTCCCATCCCTCCCCCAGTGTTGCACTCTGAACTATCAGCTTTCCATAGCTTTCTTCAGTTGTAACCGGAAGGCCCAGGGTTGGGAGCAAAGAGCACAGCAGGGGAGGGTAGCCTTGCGGTCACTAAAGCCCATATTTGAGGTTTACAGACTGGCCCTTCATTTTCTCCAGCACTGTCATTAAGCCCCCCTCAGTCTCCCCACCCAACTAAGAAGTCCAAGAAACTCCCATCTCTCCCTACTAGCTAAGCCCCCAACCCTTTCATCAACTCTGAATTCAGTAGTATAACTAAGGTGTAACATGCCCAGCTTCAGCCCCCAGAACCATAAATACCCTGTGCTAGGGTCATAGACTGGGAGCTAATGCAGGATGGTTCTTTAAGCAGACAAGCAGGATCCTGAGGAGAGCAGGGGTAGAGTATTGGCTCTGTGGCTCCTTCACCCCCTTACCCCAGGTCTGGTCCACATCATAAAATGGAGAAGGCACTATGCTTGTTCTGTCTCCCTGGTGATGGCTCACATGTGTGACACTGACTTGGTCCCAACCTCTCTCCAACACACCTGAAGATGCCAGAAGCCCTGGGCTCCTCAGGTTACATCTGCTCAGGTTATATCTCTGGCTTTGTTCCTCAAGCCCTACCACTTTCAGGGTCTAGGTAGGCCCAGAGACATCACCAAAGTCCTGTTAGCTTTAAAATCAATACCTAGGCAGCCGGGCATGGTGGCACACACCTTTAGTCCCAGCACTGGGGAGGCAGACACAGGCAGATCTCTGAGAGTTCAAGGCCAGCCTGATCTACATAGTGAGTTCCAGGCCAGCTGGGGCAATAGAGAGATGCTGTCTCAAAAAGACACACACACACACACACAAATAATATCTGGGATAGCAAGATAGTTCAGCAGGTTAAGGTGCTTGCGAGTAAGCCTGATGGCCTGAGTTCAATCCCCTGGACCCACATGATAGGAGAGGACTGACTCCTGCCAATTGTCTTCTGACCTCCACATGCAGTGACACCACCCCATTCCCAACACAATCAATCAATATATGTATTAAAATCAATTTCTGTGTACATTTTGAAGCTCAGCAGATTATTTTCCCTGGTTTGCTGATGGAAAACCAATTTTGAGCTATTGACCTGACAGTCTCAGTTTTTGCTTTAGGTTTGGGAAAATTTTGATTTGGGAAATAATAATCCTGTAAATAAAGTTTCTAGGGGAGAAATTTTTATACTTTATGCTAATACCCAATTCCATTTCCTTAAGTCCTGGTCAATGCCAAGTAGTCTCAGTGCCCTGCCAAATCCTAATTCTTCCCACTCTTTTCTGTAACAGCATCATTATAGACAAATAGCCAAACCTTTGGGGGAGATGTCCTGGATCCTTTCTCCCCTCTTCCTTACCACATAAGTTATAGGTAGCTGATGAAGCTAAAAGAAACCATGTAAGAGGGCCTGGAAAGATGGTTCAATGGTTAAGAGCACTGACTGCTCTTGCAGAGAACTTGGGTTCAATTCCCAGCACCCACATGGCAGCTAACAATTGTCTGTAACTCCAGTTCCAGGGGATCCGATGCCCTCTTCTGATCTCTGTGGGCACTGCACAACACAGGTGCATTTGCACACATGCAAGCAATACACTCATACACATAATATAAAAATAATAAATAAAATATTTTAAAAGAAACCATGTAAGAGGGTAGTGGTAGAGCACTTGCCTAGCATATCTGAGACCCTGGGGTTAATCCTCAGCATCACAAAAAGAAGAAAAAAATAAATAAAAGAAAATGTGTGACTGTACATCTATTCCCAAGCATCTGGCCTGGGAGTACACACAACCTTGGACATGATGGTATATATACTTCCTCTGCCAGGTGACAAGGAGCCCTGTGCACATCCAAACTCTAGATTTTGTGTCCCGGCTCGACAGTGTCCCATCATGGACCCAGCCTGGGAAGCTCCAGAGGGTGTCCCTATTGATGCCATCATCTTCGGAGGCCGCAGACCCAAAGGTAAACAATATGTGGGCTCTGTGCCTTCTTAGCAAAAGGTCTAGATCTACCATAAAGCCTTCCACCTTCCCGGTACTTGAAATTCGCAGCTGTAGCTGTCCGTCTCTCCTCCTCTTCTGGTGAATGCAAACTTGGGGGGAGACTTGGGGTCTGACAATGGAATAGCCCAGGTCCTAAGCAAAGAAACAGACAGGATAGAGTGAGGATCCAAAGAAAAGGGCCGCCTGTAACCCTGTTAATTGGTACTCTAGGGGTACCCCTGGTCTATGAGGCCTTCAACTGGCGTCATGGGGTGTTTGTGGGTAGTGCCATGCGCTCTGAGTCCACTGCAGCAGCTGAACACAAAGGTGAGTGTACACCTCTGTTGTTCCCTGTCCTCTGTGCCCACAGTGCCTCCTCTCCCCTTTCTAAACTACACCTTCTTGCCCACCCGTGAAGTCTTCAGTGGCCCCACCTCTTCTCCTCACTTTCCCCCATTCCTTCTCTTCACTTTGCCTGAAGGTATTTCAGAACTGTGAGCTTTTACCCAACACCTTCAGCTAGACACGGGGTTCCTTTCCCTTACCCAGAAAGGAAGAAGATTCTTTACCTACCTCCTTCCTGCCCTAGGAAAGATCATTATGCATGACCCATTTGCCATGCGGCCTTTTTTTGGTTACAACTTTGGGCACTACCTGCAACACTGGCTGAGCATGGAGGGACGCAAAGGAGCGCGGCTGCCCCGCATCTTCCATGTGAACTGGTTCCGGCGTGATGAAGCAGGCCGCTTCCTGTGGCCAGGCTTTGGGGAGAACGCTCGTGTACTAGACTGGATCTGCCGGCGATTAGATGGAGAAGACAGTGCCCAAGAGACACCCATCGGACTGGTACCAAAGGAAGGAGCCCTGGATCTCAGTGGCCTTGGAGCCATAGATACCACTCAGCTGTTCTCGCTCCCCAAGGACTTCTGGGAACAGGAGGTCCGTGACATTCGGAGCTACCTAATGGAGCAGGTCAACCAAGATCTCCCCAAGGAGGTGTTGGCTGAGCTTGAGGCCCTGGAAGGACGTTTGCACAGAATGTGATCGAGACCTCTAGACTAGCACAGCACCCTCATCTGGAAATAGGGAGCTCCCAGGCTTATAGAAAATACAAGCAGTTTGACATTATGTGAGTGCCATGAGGCCAGGCCACAGACCTCCCATGCTGTCAAATAAGAGATGATCATTTATTTTATACATCTGTGCTGTTTTCATTTCCTTGTCTTCACAGGCGTCCCTCTTTTTTTTTTTTTTTTTTTTTTTAGTCGTTTTGAGACAGGGTCTCCTTGTAGCCCCAGCTGTCCTAGAACTCACTATGTAGACCGGGCTGGCCTTGAACTCACAGAGATCCACTTGCCTCTGCCTCCAGAGTGCTGGGATCAAAGGAGTGCGCCACCATACCCAGCACAGGCTTCCCTCTAATAACAGTCTCAGCACTGGGTCAACATAGTAGGAATTTCTGAAAGAAGGCATTACTCTTCTGCATCATTAAAAAAGGCGGGGGCCTCAGCAAACTGCTCGGTACAATGTCTAGAGTTAAGATTCTTATGTCCCAAGCATGGTGGTGCTCACTTTTAATCTCAGTGCTCGGAGGCAGAGGCAGGCAGATCACTGTGATTTTGAGGCCAACCTGGTCTATGTAGAGAGTTCCAGAAAGCCAGGGCTACATGACAAGATCCTGTGTCAACAACAACAAAAGATCCTTTTGTTTTGTTTTTCATGTTTTTGAGACAGGGTCTCCCTGTAGCCCCAGCTGGCCTGGAACTTACTATATAGAGGAGGCTGTCCTCACTGTCACAGAGATCTGCCTGCCTCTGCCTCCTGAGTGCTGGGAATAAAGTTTTGCACAAACTTGCCTTTGTTTTTTAACAACAAAAGATTCTTTTTTAATGTTTTATTTGTTATTTTGTTTTATAAGAGTATTGTTTACATGCATATAGATGCACCCTTGTCATGCAGTGCCCATGGAGGTCAGAAGAGAGCATCAGATTCCCCTGGAACTGGAGTTACAAAGTTGTTAGCTGCCATGTGGGTGCTGGGAATTGAACCCCAGTACTCTGCAAGAGCAGTGTTCTTAGCCGCTGAGACATCTCTTCAGCCCCACAACAAAAGATTCTTATGCCCCACAGAGACATGCAGAAGCCTCGTTCTCCAATGAAGGTGGTTCCAATGGTTGGTTTTCATGCTGCTTTCCTGCTGCCTGACCTGGAACCAAGAGACATAAAGCATTTCTGAAAACATACTCAGTACTGACGTTTAATCCTTTGTGTGTGTTTATGCAGCCCAGGATGGTTTCAATTTTACTATGCAGCCAAGGATAATTTTGAACTCCTGATCTTCCTTCCTCCACCTTCTGACCGACGTGTGCCACCAGGCCCAGCTAGACAATTAACACTTTATAGCACCATCTGCGTGCCAGGTACTGTTCTAAGCACATTACAAAAAGCCCTTTGAGGAAAGGATCATTCTACAGTTGAAAAAACAAAGGTGAACTGGGCATGGTGACACATGTCTCAGGAGACAGAGGCAGGAGCATTACAAGTTTGAGGCCATCCTGGGCTGCATAGTGAGATCCTGTCTACAAAACAGTAAAGCGAAAAAACAAAGAAACATCCAAGAGATGGCCCCACACCTGTGTTTATATGGGCAGCAGTAATTGGATTCAGTGGCTTATTTGAGGGAGAAAAAGAGGAAGTGAAGTTGGGCATGTTGGGGAGGGTCCAAGGAAATTGGAGAAGGAAAATAGATATAATCAAAATACATTGCATACGTGTATGAAATTCTCAAAGAATAAGCAAACATTACATATGTAAAAGAAGTAGCTGGAGAGATGTCTCAATGATTAGGAGCACATCCTGCCCACGCAGACGACCCAGCATCAGGCTCCCAACCACCTGTATTTCCAGCTCCCAGGGATGTCACAGCACTAACATCCACAGGCACCTACACTCACATGCACATGCCCACGCACAGATACATACATGTAGTTAAAAATAAAGTGGGGCTGGAGAGATAGCTCAGCGGTTAAGAGCACTGACTGCTCTTGCAGAGGACCCAAGTTCAATTCCCAGCACCCACATGGCGGCTACGAACTGTCTGTCCTTAACTCCAGTTCCAGGGGAATCCGAAGCCCTCTTCTGACCTCTGCAGCAATGTGTGACATGGGTGCACATACATGCAGGCAATACACACATACATATAAAATAAAAATAATAAATAAAATTTTTTAAAATAAGTAGAGTAAATCTTAAAAACTGTTTGAAAAAAAAAAAAAAAGAAAGTAAAGGCCAAACAGTAAACAATAGAGCCACTACCTATTCCATGTAAATCCCCTGGGAAACTTATTAAACTGTACAACCTCTCTCATCAAGTCTGGGGCAGCCTGGAGGTTCTATTTTTCTTAGTGCTGCTGGCCTGCAGACCAGAATATGAGTAGTAAGACTGCAGCCTAAACTCTGGCATCAACTCTGGAAAGGAACAACAAAATAAGAGGAATGAGGGGCTGGAGAGGTGGCTCAGTGGTTAGGAACACTTCCTGCTCTTCCATAGGACCCAAATTTGGTTCCCACCATTAATGTTGGATTGCTTACCACCTGTTAACTCTAGCTCCAGGAGAACCAATTACCTTCTCTGGCTTCCATGGGCACCCACACACATATGGCATACACTTATATAGACACACACACATATATACACATGAATAAAATGCATTTTTTAATTTTTTTATTTTATGTGTATGCATGTATTGCCTTCATGTGTGTAAGTGTACCCATGTCATGCAACAGCCATGGAGGCCAGAAGATGTCAGATCACCTAGAACTGGAGTTAAGGACAGGTGTTAGCTGCCATGTGGGTGCTGGAAATGGTACCCAGGTCTTCTAGGAGGACAGCCAGTGCTCTTAACTGCTGAGCCATCTCTTCAGCTCCCTAAAATAAAACTTTTAAAAAGAGGCCAGGAGTAGTGGCGCATTCTTTTAATCCCAGCACTCAGGAGGCAAAGGCAGAGATCAAATCCAGCCTGGTCTACATAGCAAGTTCCAGGCCAGTTCAGGCCACAGGGGGACCCTGTCTCAAAAAAAAAAAGAAGAAGATGCCTGGTATAGTAGCGCACGCCTTTATTACCAGCACTTGGGAGGCAGAGTCAGGCAGATCTTTTTGAGTTCGAGGCCAGCCTGGTCTACATAGTGAATTCCAGGACAGCTGGGGCTACAGGGAGACCCTGTCTCAAAAAGACCAAAAAAATTATTATGTGTATGGGGTGGGTGGAATATGCATGTGAGTGCAGGTGCCCATGGAAGCCAGAAAAGGACATTGGATCCTCTGGCACTGGAGTTAGGGGTGATTGTTACCTGCCATGTGGGTGCTGGGAATCGAACCTGGGTCCTCTGCAAGAGGAGCCAGTGCTCTTAACCACCAAGCCATCTCTCCAGTTCCTGAATTTTAATGGGAATCTCATCTGTTATTGTAAAGTTTATTGTTGGTCTTTAAGTGTTTGTGCTGATCATATTTAAGTATAGTGATTTCCCTTGGTTCTAATCAGAGATTTAATGGAGGAAATTTAGTATCACTGTTAGATCTGTGGGCACCAGAGCCATGCCACCTTCAAATCTGAGGTCTACCATTTCCTGGATGTGTGAAGTTACCTCACTCAGCTTCAGTTTCCTCTTTTGTAAAATAGGGACAAGAACAACAGTAACAATAGAATTGTTTTTAGAATTAAGTCAGTGAACTGGGCCAACCTGGTCTACACAGTGAGTTCCAGGCCAGCTGGAGCTTCAGAGAAACCCTGTCTCAAAAAGAAGAGCCGGGCGTGGTGGCGCCCACCTTTAATCCCAGCACTCCGGAGGCAGAGGCAGGCGGATCTTTGTGAGTTTGAGGCCAGCCTGGTCTACATAGTGAGTTCCAGGACAGCTGGGGCTACAGGGAGACCCTGTCTCAAAAAGACAAAAAGAAGGAGAAGGAGGAGAAGAAGAGGAGGAGGAGGGGGTAGAATTTTTTTAAAAGAGCAATGATCCCACATGAACTGGGGATAACTTCCATGTTTAGGGCCCAGATGAATGTATAAGCTCAGGAAAAGAGGAAAAACGTCAACAAATAAAATGGAACTCCTGGAAAAATGCTAATGCCCAGGTACAAATAGTCAGAGAAGAAAAAGGTCAGGGTGGACAAGAACCCAGCAATACAATACACTGTGCCTAAAAAATACAGCAGGTAGGAGGGAAAGGTGAGAAAAGGTTGATCAATGGATGCTAGTTATAGCTACAAGTGAGTTCTGGTATGCTACTGCACAGGAAGGAGCTATAAATAACAATAGTTCATAAGAGCTGAAGAACCCTGAATGTTCTTACCACAAAGAAATGACATTTGAGAGGCAGTTTACCCTAATTTGAATATTACACAGTACATACGTGTATCTAAGCATCACATGGTACCTCATTAGTATGCACAGTTTTATGCCTCAAAAGAATGTTTTCTCTTTTTTCAATAATTGAATTTTTTATTTATTTTTATTTTATGTGTATGAGTGTTATGCCTGCATGTATGTAAGTATACTGTGTCATGCAGTGCCTGCAGAGGACAGAAGAGTCAGTCAGATCCCTTGGAACTGGAGTTACAGTTGTTTGCCTCCATGTTGGGATTCCAACCCAGGTCTTCTGCAAGAGCAGCCAGTGCTCTTAACTACTGAGCCACCTCCCCAGCCCCTCTCTGAAGAAGACAGCAAGGAAGAGGTTAAGAGCGGTCAGGGATGAAGTCCAGATATTTCCTTGAAAACAAGAATGTTGGGCTCAGTGGAACACCACCTTAGTCACAGATCAGAGAAAAACATAAGTCTAAGTCATGGTATGCAAAACATAGGATGATTGTTTAATGTTAAATGTAACCACCGCTGACTAGCTTTCCGGGAAATTGTTGATATCTATAGATTGTGTAAGAAACTAATACACTCTTTGTAGTCGACTGATTAACTTTAAATGTAAACCTGTACAATGTGTTTTTTTCTTTGTGAAACTAATTCTTTCATGTATCCTGACACAAATACAAGCTTGTGACTGTAGTTTTGAGAGTATAAAAAAGCACTGCTAAAGAATTAAACCCTCTTCTCCTCCATCAGAGGGTTCAGTCCTTTGCCTTCACTCATTCTGTCCATCCACCAGCAGACCTGAGTCTCTACACCTTTCCCTTGGTTTTTTGAGACA